TAAATTTATATAGCTACATCAATTGAAATAAATAAATAATTTTAATTTCAATACGTAACCAATAAATCCACTAAATACACCAATTGATATAAATAAATAAGTAAATAAATAATTTGAATCTTAATGTATAAACAATCAATTGACTAAATGATCGGTCGAAATAAATAAATAATTTTGATTTTAATTCATAAACCAATAAGTCCACTAAATACATCAAATTATGTAAAAAAAAAATCTTTTATTAAATGAATGTTTATTGTGTCTGGCTTAATCGTTGTTGTTGTCTAAAATTAAAATAAATAACTGATTTAAAGTAAAAAAATGCTTACTTTATTTGGATCTACTGTGGTTATCATCTAAAATAAAAATAATGGATAATTTAAATTAAATCAATACTTGCTTTGATTGAACCAATTGTTCATATGATCTAAAATAAAATAAAAGATAATTCAATTAAAATACATACTATAAATCAACACTATTATATAAGTTTACCTTCAGTTTGAATTGTAAAACTTTCAAATGTTTTACTGTTATCCCTATTCAAATAATTTGAACTATTGCTGGATGTTAATTCTTGTTCTTGAACAATTGCTTTGGACGTAAAAAATGCACTATTATTTACATCTTGTAAATATTCACCGTGTAAAGATGGATCATAATTTGTGATAATGGAACTACCTGTTCCATTTGTATTATTGTACAAAGTACTAATTGAATCATTCCATTTAAATTCATCATTTTCTTCTTCAACTGTGAAATGGTTAGATGTTGTAGTGAAACTTTCAACAATATTCTTTGCTAAATCAGTATGATATTTGTAATTTTTACGTTGTAAATCTAATCTTTTCTTCCTTCTCTGACGACCTATCTCTATCAAATCATTGATTCTGTTTTGTTGATTCATTTTAATAAAAATTTACTAATCACATCTACATCTGACAAGAAAATCAAAGTAATAAAGACAAGATAGACTTATTTAACAATTATGTGCGCAATTTACTTTCGTACATCATAGAATAGATAATATAGACTAAAAACACCGACGAGAAGATTCTTCGTCATTTTATAAGAAGACGTCGGTGAATGTGTCGGATATTAGGAAGAGAAAAAATAAGATAAAGTAAGAATCGATTCCTTATTGTTTCTGATGGTATATGTACAATGTCTTTATCTGTTCTCCTATCTTTTATGTACTTGGAGTGCAAAAATAACTTATTCGACATTACTATCTAAAACAACAATAAATTTGATTGGTCAAACTGATTCAACAAGTGGTGTAACTTTTTACCAGATAGACACTAATATATAGAAGATGTATTTTCAAAACTAAAGGATGCATCATTTAAATTAAAACGTATTTAATCGCTTAAGAATTTATTTAAATACATGAAACTATCGTTATAAAAATTATTTACACAAGACAAACTTATTATTATGATCTTATACGATCGTATAAGATCTGATCATCAGATTTTATAAAAAATCTTACTGTAAGATTCTTACAAAATCTGATGATCAGATCTTATGCGATCGTACAAGGTCTCATACTATCTGATCATCAGATTTTGTAAGAATCTTACAGTAAGATTTTTGTATGATTCTGTAAGATCATACAGTATGAATCTTACGATATCCGATGGTCCGTAAGATCTTGTAAGATCTTATACGATCATCATAAGATTTTTTCACCTGGGTCTACGCAATATTGCACTTGATTATGGTCTTGAACGTGAATTGGCTGTTCCTCGTACTGTCATTGTTGGCGACACATCATCGGGCAAATCAATGCTTGTTCAAATGTTTCTTCGATTTCCATGTGCATTTTCACATGCTAATGTTGGTACTCGATGTCCAGTAAAATATATATTACGTTATGATCCAAATTTAAACGATGGTGAAATTCGTTTTATTGAACCAAAGCATTGGCAAGCTAAAGATCTCAGCAAAAATTTAGAATTAGAAATGGAACGTATTGAGAAGGCTTATAGACATGAAGGTGGTTTTCGTCTTGAACCATTTACTATTGAAATAGCCAGTAAACATTATACAGATTTTGAAATTCTTGATGTACCTGGCCTAGTTAGTGGTGATCTAGATCCTAATAAACGAGCAGCTGTCGAACGTATTACAGAACATTATGTACGTGATCTGAGTTTTATGATTGTACAACTCAAAGAAGCTCAGCAATTAGCTGATAATACATATGGAACAAGACGTATTGGTGAGCTATGTACTAGTGAACCGGCTCAGCAAGGTTCAAAATTTCCTGCTCGTAAGGATTATGCTGAACATACAATTACTATTCAAACTAAATTCGATGCATTCATGCGTGAACATGATAATGGTACGGTAGCCAATGAAGATATTCGAACACGAATTGAATTTTTTCCAAATACTTTTTTTACCAATATGGTTGTTAGTCCGTAAGTATATTTTTTTTCTATCCTTAAATAATTGACTTCCTACCATTGTCGTTTCATAAACAAAAAAAAAGATACAAATTATCTGATCATTCATACGAAGAAAATATTGAATATATTGCTCAATTACCAGAATTAGAAAAGAAAGAAGTCGACAATTGAATCAATCGTATTAATTTAAAAGCAGGTGGAAGCGATTCCAAATATCAATTATTTAATCAACACTATCGTCCATTGATTGGTATTGATGTTGTACGAAAACAAATTCAAGAATTATGGTTACGAGTTCGTATATGATAAAACACTAAAGTATTTTAAATGAATTTTTTGTTTTCATCTAGGCATTTCGTGCTGCTCTACCACGATTACAAGACACAATTAATCGACTTATTCGAAAACATTCAGACGAATTTGAAACAGCATTATTTAATCTTGAACAACAAGATCCACGTACTGTACGTAATAATTATCAAAAGTATATTGAAGCATTTCGAACGACAATTAGTGACTATGCAGCTTATCGAGCTGAAGTTAATGCTTTGTTTCCATTAGATGAATATGGTCGAACTTATGAACAAATTGAAAATGAATATAATGATTGGAATCGTAAGCAACCACTTACATGGCGTGCTTATTTATCGGCTAAACAATTAAAACAAAATTTAAATGGACAAATATTAGCTACACTTGATTTACGTTATATTGGTGCTCGACATTTTGAACGTTTGCGACAGGTAAGATAGACATAACAGTTTCAATGATCGTACTTATTTTATATAGTTTCATTATAATAATGTTTTGTGAAACATGAGCTAAAAGAATGAGTCAAGATTGAGACCTTTGCTGCTCTTCATAACATAGACCGTGACATATTGTATATTAATAAAAATTCTTTCTAATATGTGAACTAGTTGCTTGTTGCATTTCTGGAGGATAAAGTAAAAGGATGATAATTAACCTTGCAGAGATTGCGTTAAAAGTGTTTTTTTTTAATTTATCTAGAATGGTTGGGGAAGAAAAGTGCTCTAAAAGTGCAATTACAGTGAGGATCTTATTTAAACTCGCTTGTTCTCATCATCATTTAAAAAGGGCTTGTCGTATCAGTTGATTTAAATAGTATCGAATATATACATACATTCATCTCGTAGAGTTGTGTTCAATAGTGAAAACAGTTTCAATGACTCTTTGTTCGGATCATTAATTCCATATTTTAGGCTCATGAAAAAGTACGTGTATCAATTTTATCCTAGAAATAAATTTTCTTTCTTTTTTCATCTTCATATTTAATCTAGACTCATATGAATCTTTAACATCTATCTATTTCTTTAAGGTATTTTCATACATGATACTGTCACATGAAGCATTAAATCGTGAATGTGATTGGTTTGAATCATCTCAATCATTATTATATGGTGGTGTGAGTGATTATGAAAATACAGAAAAAGCTGTACGTGAATTACTTTTTATATTAATTCGTGAAACATTCTTAATTGGAATTTGTTGGTTAACACAAATGTATACACTTCTAAGTGATCATTTTGCTAATCATGTTAAATCAGTTTTACTCAATACAAAATTTTCTCATTTGGAAGAACATGTTAAATTTTTAAGTTTAGTTGATCTTGAATATCATACAGTTACACATAAATTTATTCGTAATGCTGTCACAGCTATTAAACATGCAAGATATGCTAAAATGGTTTATGCTGTTCATCATGTATGTGGTACCTTAAAAAATCTTATTAGTTCATTTTCAAATATGAGTATGATTACCCAAAATAGCAATGATAATGACAATTTAGGAAATAAAGTACTTCAAGTTGCTCAGGATGCTAAACTAAAACTAGCAACTGGTATTAATCCTGTTGCAGCTATTGCAACTTCAGCTATTACTACTGTTACAAGTTGTAACAATCCACTTGATTTAATTTATGCAACAGGAAAATTTCTTACCAATGATCGAAATCCACAAACAGTAAATTATTTACCACAAACATGTGATAAAGTTAGTGAATTGTACACAGCTGTGCATGGTCAACTTCTTCATGATATTATAACGAATTTTTTTGCTAATCTAGTTCTCGAAATTCAACAATATAAATCAATACCAATTGAAAATTCTCTACAAAATCGTCTAAATCGTATGTCAGATAAAGATATTGCTCATATGGCTAATATTGAAATTGAAAGTAGTCGTCAAAAAGTTCTTAGTAATCATGAAAGTATTAAACAACTTGAACAAGCACGTGATGCTATTGAAGATGTTATTGCACTTATTAATAATAAAAATATAGACGATAATTTATATGATATGAATGATGATATTAATAATATTAAAAAACGTATTCGAGCAACACATGCAGATACACGTAATAAACGTTTACGTGATATTGAGAAAAAATTAAAAATACGTCAACGACATAAGAAAAAACAAACCAATACAATTCAATATAATAATAATCAACATTTATCATTTAATGTTATTAATAATGAGAAACAAATTTCAATTGATTCAAATCAAGATGAAGATAATAGTGATGATGAAACAAGTGAATTTGAAGATGAACATGGACTTATGAGATATGATGATAAAACATCAAGTGAAACATATTTACTTGGCATTTTTAGAAAACATGATCAAGAAGATCTCGAACTTGGATTTCTTAATGGTGATTCATTGAAAGCAGATGTCAAATTTGTCGAACAACGACAACAACAACAACAGAAACAACAAGAACAAAAATCTACCTTAATGACTAATATGACGTCAAATGTACGAATGATTGCAGAGAACTTGGAACAAATATCATCTCTTCCTATAAACATAAATTCCATATTACAACAGCGTAAAGATACTTCGTCTGACTTCGTATCCGACGATGAAGACGATCGAAATTCGGTAGTTGAAGTTCCTTCTAATAAAACAGGTTTGTTCTTTGTACATTTATGATAGTAAAATGACAATAGCCGACGTTAAAATGATAAAAAAATAGTCACAAGTATTTTGTGATGATAAGAGAGTCTGATTCGTCTTTCTATCGAAATAGTTATGATAAATTTTAGTCCAGACAGAAAGTCA